TAAAAAAAAAATTAAAAAAAAAAAAAAAAAAAAAAAGAAAAAAAAAAGAAAAAAGAAAGTACTTTTGTAAAATGATGAAAATATACTTTATCTCCACTGGCATTGCCTGTGATATATTATATACAGTCCTCCTGCCAAAGTGTGATTTGGAAATTCAAACTAGACATGACTGCAGCAGATAAAAGAACTCCAGTCAGTCATTTACATTCCTCACGTAGTTGAAAGAAGAAGAAAAGAAAAGAGGCTTGGGATATCAGACGAGAAAAAATGGATCAGAAGATGTTTTCATTTCATGGATGTATTTTACTATTTGTAATGTTGATTTGACAATTTATAGTATGTGAGAAGTGTCAAATAATATAATCTGATTTTCAGTATAATTTTATTCACATCCTATGGAGGTACCAAAGATGAATGTCTGAAACAGTTAAAATTACTTACATCAGGACAATGACAGTGCTCTCTGCAAGCATTCATTCTGACAAACAAGCATGTTTATTTCCTCAAACTCTGTGTCCAGTTCTTTCTTTTTTTCCCCAGATGTGTTTAATCTAATTATGAAGTCTTTTATTTCAAAAGACACACTTCTTTTCTTTAAAAGAACATCATACAGAGCATTCCAGCGTTATGTCTGTTCGTGTTTTGCTTCTAGGCTGTAAGCAATAAGGAAGTGCACCACTGAATTATTTTTAGATGTTTTGTATGTTTGCTATTATCTGCCTTAATTATTATCAGTCACTCTTAACAAGAAGCTATATTTATAATTGAGCAGAAATATATTATAAGCTTTTTATGAGTTGTTGATTAATTTGACCTAGATTTTTTGCCTCCTAGCCTAGTCTGATCTGTAGCACAGTCATGAGGAAATACATGTTCAACTTCATTTTTCTGATTATGTTAAGATTGCTATATAATTTTTGCTGTGTAGAATATTTAGAATACTGCAGTATAATTTATTCTGGTTATATTTGAAGCTTGACCTCATATATGACCTTATTTTCCAAGTAATAAATGCCAGAAAGATTATTTTTTCCTGACCTTTTGCCACAGCAACTCTGTGCTTATAATTGGACATTGATCTGTATAAGGATGCAGTAGTGGACTTTTTTTTTTTTTCCTTTAACATTCTGTATTAATGTGTTTCTAAATTTCTCAGTTTCATGTAAGAAAAAGACAAAATCTCTAGATTTTTATCTAAGTATAGCCATGAAATCATTCTAAAATTTTAAAATTTTCACTAGTCTTCCTTTTATCACTGGTATACTATAGAAGTTTTCCTTATTGCCCTTAATGTTCTCTCTGGTCAGATTTAATTTCACTGGGGCTTTGACTTTCCTAACCTAATCTCTGGCTGCTCAGACAATTTCCCTGTATTCCTTCCAGACTACGTGCTCTTGCTTCCACCCTTTGTAGGCTTCCTCTTAGTGTTTGGGTTTGGCAAGCAGCTCCTTGTTCATTCATGCTGGCCTCCTGGTATTTTTGCCTGAGCTCCCAGGTGTTGGGACCCATAACTTGGAAGAAGTGATCCCTGAATATTAACCACCTTTCTTAGGCCCCTATTTCCTGCAGGATTTTACCCCAAGGTACTCTATGATACAGATCCCCGAAGACCCCAAAATCTGCTCTCCTGAAGTCCAGGGCAGTGAACTTGCTGTGTGCTTTCCTCACTGCCCTAAGGCTCTTTAACTCCACCATTTCACAGTCACTGCAGGCAAGACTGTCCTTGAGCTTTACATTCCCCACCGGCCCCTCCTTGTTGGTGAGAACAGGGTCCAGCATAACACTTCTCTTTGTTGTCTCCTCTCTCACTTGGAGAAGGAAGTTCTCACCAACACATTCCAAGGACCTCCTGGGCTGCTTATGCCCTGATGTGTTGTCCCTGCAACAGAAACAGCAGTGGTTGAAGTCACCCATGAGAACCAGGGCTTGTGAATGTGAGGCTGCTGCTCTTATCTGTCTGTAGTAGGACTCATCCACTTGGTCTTCCTGGTCTGGTTGCCTAGAGCAGACCCCCACCTGTCCTTGCCCTCCCTTTAATCCTGTCCCATAAGTTCTGTCTGCTCCTCATGCATCCCTTACTGACCAACCAAACCAACCAACCAACCAACCAACCAACAACTACTTTTTCTACCCCTTACCCCCCTCCCCAATTACAAATGGTAATGATATCCATTTGTTTACTTGTACAAATTCTTTCATCTCAAGAGTGCTGTAATAAGATCACTGACACTTTATGAAAACCGAACCTGCAGTGACCACCTTATGGGGTTATAGATTCCTGCAGGAACTGTGGTTTAGTGTGGTGTTCCCAATGAAATCAGTCACCGCTTCTCATTGAGCTTAGTATGATTAGGGCTCTTATCCCAAAATAACATTTCTCTTTTGAAAGAAGATAAATAAAATTACTTTCTCTAGTCAAGCTAAGCCAGGTTGAAGGAGAGTGAAAATATTATGTGTGATTAGGATAGAAAAAGGATTGCATTTTTTTTAAAGAAAAATTGTTTTGTAGGAAAAGGAAATGGATACCTTGCTAGAAACAATTGTCCATGGCAGTGCCTGAAGATGTATCAAAAGCTGTGGTTCTGTCATCATTTTGGGGTTTATTCAGGGATGTGAATTCACTATTTTATAGCAAAGTTTTAGGCTTGATTATTGTTGTTTAAAGATATTTAAAATAGTTTAACGTCTGCTTTTACAACAGCGTTAATTATTAAATCTTCTGGTATTTTTGAAAAATTACCTGGACTGATTGTGAATTCAGGATCTTAACTTAAGATACCTAATTTAAAATTAAGTTAAGTTTGAGTTTGACATGCTTTTTATGTAATTCCAAATATCATTGTCATGGGTCCAATTCTACGTGTGGCACTAATAAGAATGTTAGCAGTATCAGTATTTTAACTACAGTTTTGAGAAACTCTAGTCTAGACAGTCTGAAAACTAACTAGCCATATTGAGACAAAAACTGTGTCAGTAGCAGTACAGCAATTGTGCTTCAATCAGTAATAGAGAAGAGGAAATTTTATGAACAAATTTTTTTTTGTAGACAAGACATCTGATTTCAGCATGGGACGAGAGTCAATCAAGCTTACTTTACGATTTGCATTAAAATAGTGAAAACAGTGGATGGTAAAGCCTCAGTAAGTTTACTATTAAAATATTAGACTTCAAGGAAGTCTTCTATCAAGAAGATAACAAGTTTTGTCTGGTGGTAGCCGTAAACATTCAAACGAGTAGGAAAGATAATGCAAATTAGATGTCATTATGAAATGCTTGTGAAAGCTCATCACTTGCCTTTAATGGAAAGAAAGGAGAAAAACCCAACCCAGTAGAAGTTATCAGGACAGTAAGTCTTGTGTTGAAGTAAGCATGTCCCTTTTCAGTTGTCTCAGCCGTATATCCTCTTGCTGTGAATTTCAAGCCACTTTCTGCATAAAAATATCTGCCTCTTATACTTATGCATTTATTACTATCTGATCCAGCTGTCTTATTAAGCAGCTTGTTCCATATGCCTGCTACTCTTTCAAAGGAATGCTTTTAGATAGATTTGTTTTGTTTACCTCTATTTTTTCACTTTTGTTGCTAGACTTTAAACCCCATCACTAGTTTGGACAGTTTGAGATCACCCTACTTAGAAGTCTTATGAAAATTAATAGTTTTGAAAACATTTGTCAAGTTACCTGTTTGTTCCACTTGAAGTAGCTTATATTATTTATGGTTTATATTTAAATAACAGATTTTTTTTTTTTTTTTTTTGGTATGGTTTAACTATAATAGTAATAATCTGGATGTCCTGAAAAGATATCCCAAGCTGAAAATAATCACTTAAATCATAAATGATATCTACAAAGAAACAACAGTACAACAGCAAGATGTAAATTTCATACTTTCCTTAGTGGATCCTGGACATGTTTACCTTACAATCAGTAAAACAATACAGAGTTATGGACTTTTCTGTAGATACTCATAAATCATTGTCTTTGTTAGATTTTCCCAGGAAATTTTCCTTCCTTTTTCTTTTGAATTTGCTTTCTGGTTTTTTTTATTTATTTATTTTATTTTACTTTATTTTTTGTTTGTTTATTTGTGTTTTTGTTTTTGTTTTTGTTTTTTCCTGCTTTAGCGTGAACCTACATTTACATGTCATGGTCAAAAGTATTCAAGGGATTAAGTGTCCCCAAATGTGGTAGTTTAGTTGTTCAGTTTTTTCTTTTCCAATGCATTTCATCTTTCTCTCAACACGTTTTCTTGCCCTTCACACCTGCATCCCATAGAGGGAGCATTTCTGCATGTGCTGTTGCCTCATTAACAGAGGCACGGATCCTGACAATAAAGGAAAAGAGACGGCACCTCTGGAGGAACGGGAAACCAAAACTCTGACACTCTTGGTGTCAGAGACTCTTCCAGAACCGCTGTTGATCACCAGGCTTCTCTGTAGGACAGCACCATTGTAATCTAAGATGTAGTTGACTACTATAAAAGGACGGTATTTTATCTTCAGAAAAAAAAAAGATATAGTAAATATAACTTTAAAATATAATACTTATTTCTTCATCATCATGACAAAAATACATTTGCATCAGAACTGATACAGTCCTGCATACAACAATCTTAGGAATAAAAACAATATCAGTGTTATAGAATCTCTATGAATACTGTTAACTCTTGACTTTGTCCAGTGAACACATTCACAAAACAAGCCTGTAGTTTATATTCTCAACTT